GTCTATATGAGTCAATGCCTGTCTTTATTCCTTTACTTTTATTTTCTTGAGATTTCAAGAGGGAGTTGTGATAAACATATGTGTTTAGTTAGCTATCTTTAACCAGAAGTAACTCATGTTTATTCGTCTAGGTCAAACTCAAATGTCATTTCTTTTCTATAATTTTTACTGATCCCATGTGCAAAATTAATTGCTTCATCATATATATTCTCATAGAACTTTATATATGTCTATCATAGCATTTACCAAGCTTTGTTATAATTATTTGGATGACTCCTAACTACAATCCCCTTGAGAGCCATCATTGTATAATACTATTATATTACATAGTATAGTTTCTTTTTCATGGTAGATTTTTTAAATTGAATTGAGCCAATATAAATGAATATTCATGATCTTCAGTTAGTATTTGAAATTGAGGCTAAAATGGCCTTTTAAAACATTCCTATTTGACTTTCAGGGGCCTTGACATAATGTCTAAACATACCTCCATCTATAGATGTAACCCCATCCCAAAGGATGTTTAACTTAAGCCATTCTGCAGCCAGGCTTATTGCTAACTTGAGATTGAGGATATATCTGGCTTAGCTACACAGCCAAATTTGAAAAGAAGAAGCAGGTTTGCTTGAAAAGAAGAGCAATGTGGTCAAAGAAATAGTACCCATTGGTTATGTAGAATATGTGATACCCTGCTACAGTGACAGAAAAGATGCAAGAATGTGATAGTTTTAAGGCATCACAGTTGATCAGCAGTATCAAAATCTAAGTCCAAATAAATCATTTTCCCTGGAAATACTAAAATTCTACTATGTGCCAAGTAGTATGTTAGTCCCTTTACAAATGTTATTTTATTTAATTCTCAGAATATCCTACAACATAGGGGTTTTTTTGGTTTTTTGGTTTGTTTTGTTAATTGGGGAATTGGGGGAGGGGAACAGTGTTGGGGAATTAGGAGTGGGGGGTGGGGACCAGCCAAGTTGTTGTTCTTCAATCCTAGTTGTGGAGGGCGCCAGTCACCATCTGGCTGCCCATTGGCAGCTCGTGGCCTCTAAGCTCAAGGTGCTGTGTTACAATCTTAGTTGTGAATGGGCGTAGGCACCATCCCATGTCGGAGTCGAACCAGCAGCCTAGTTGTTAAGAGTGCATGCTCTGTCCACTGAGCCACCCGGGTGGCAGCTCAGCTCAAAGTGCTGAGTTCAGTCTTAGTTGCGGGCGGGTGTAGCCCACCATCGAACAGGCAGTCTTGTTGTTAGGAGCACGTGCTCTCACCAGCTGAGCCATCCTACCATCTGTTGGCAGCTCAGCAGCAGCTCAGCTCGGGCGCAGCGTCACTGGCCCATGTGGGAATCGAACTGGCAGCCCTGTTGCTCAGAGCTCACGCCCTTAAGCTAACTCTTAACCAACTGAGCCACTCGGGGCCGGCCCCAACATAGGTGTTTTTATGACCTCAGTATTACAGTTGAGGGATTTGAAGCTCAGAAAATCCAAGGTCATCTACCCAAAAATTGAAACCCTTTTGGAACAACTCCCTTCTGACCCTGTCCTTTCACTAAATGCCCTTCCTCTATGCTGCTCTCATACCCTGAACATATCTTTATCTTGACACTTATCATATTCAAATGGCATTCTGTTTATTTATCTATCTCCCCCCACTAGACAGCTCTTCGAGGGTAGGAATAGTGTCTTATTCTCCAGTACAGGACCTTGAACATGGAAAGCTCTCGATAAATGTTTGTTGTACTGCAGATTCAAGCTCAGAATTCAAGCCCTAATCTGTCTTGTTCAT